TCCTTCCAAAGCGGTAGAAGGATGGGAAGAGTATATATTTTTTTCTATATTGTTTGGCTAGACACACAGACCTATACTAGCTATGAAGCTTATATAGTTTTACATGAAGTATCATTATATTACATCACAATTTATGATTTATCTGTAGGTATTTTCTATACACGTATATACGTTCTGTAAATTAAAATTCATGTTTATATTACTTTTAAGCGATTAAACGTGGAAATAATAATTTCTTTCCATGCTGTGTAGGTAGACACACAGTCGAACACGATGTATCTAAGCTTATGTAATTTTAAAGGCTTTCACGAATTTCAATTTATAAAAATTATTAAAATCACTGCGTGAAGAAGAAGAAGAAAACATTTCTTTTTTTAACCGTATAGAATGGATTTATTTATACATTTTCTCGTTTCCTACAATTTAAAAAAAGTGGAATATTTATTTATATTTTTTTTTAGAAATAAGAATTTCACTTCAGTCCAATTTTCATGTACGAAAAACAGAATTTAAGTCCACCTTCAACTTACATACAGGGAAAGAATTCTCGACAAAAATTCTTGAAATTTTATTTTATTTTCTTCATAAATATAACTTTTATACATATATAATTTACTATTATTTTCATTTTATAAGAGAAATCTTACTTTTCTTCCCCCTCTTCCTCTATGTTTAATGAAATGTTTTCCTTTTTCATCCTACTCTCAATAGAGTAAACAGAGAGAAGGGAGCAAAAAGCATAAAGGGGGAAAAAGAAGAAAGGATATTCGTCCTGTTTTCTATTTAACTATTGAATTTATAATGCTTTAATTCTTACGAATCAAATAAAATATACATTTAGTATTGATGAACATGATTCTTACTGATACAAAAAAGAAAGAAAGAAAAAAAAAAAAGTAAACAGTTAGCTTGGGGATGTAAGAGACAGACAAGAAGAAATCACTGTTTGTTGCTTACTTATAGGAATAACATCCATCAATATTGAATGAGTTTTGCAAAGAGGATTTTCTCAAATATTTTATTATTAATTAATGATGTTTGCTTTTTTTTTTAAATTTTAAATTGATACTGTAAAATGTATCTTACATTCCTCATATAGAATTTCGTCTTTAAATTCGATGCTGCTATAGTAACAATCGATGTAAAGCTTCACTTCTAAATTTAGTTCATTGTTGAAAGCGTGTTTTAAAAGTAGTGGGAAATTTATTAAGTTCATTTAATTATCGAGATTTAAGAGCTGGAAAAGTTGGCGGAGTAGGAAAGAAAAAAAAAATAAAGTAAAAGTAGTTAAAATTTTGGCATTTCTATCTCGTTCTATCGTTCCTTCTCTCTCCCCGGAAGAGCTATCTCTTCCATTTTCCAGTTTCGTTACTTAATGGAAAGGGAAATTTTCCGAAACATTTCGAAATTTTGCATGTGCAAGCAATCATCGCCGAATTCTGTAAATGAGCAGACGTTTATAAAGAGACGGAAGTAATTTTCCTTCAGCCATTTGGTTGGCAAAGAAGAACCCCTCCGACTCGTTTGTAGCTTTTGAGAAAGTGGCAGATGGCGCGAACAGATGGTCGCCTTCACGAAACAAGTGCCTCCACGTGGCCGTGTTGCGTACTAAAGCGTGTAACCGTGTAATTTATTTTTAATCCCTACATTTCTATTAGGGGGTTACTGTGTAATTTCTTTTTTCTTCCCCCGTATCAGTTATCCATAGATAGATTGGCTAGATTACTTTTCGTTGCCTCGAATCTTCATTGATATCATGTGTTACGTGTCAGTGCTGTGATATGTGATTTTGGTACATATTGTGTTCTTGTGCATGGCTCCATCTTGTTCCTCGTGTTCATCTTACTCTCGTGTGTGTTATTTCACCTACTTGTATGTATCTAGTCTTTTCTTCTCGTTCATATGTTCATATAGTCTCTTACTCTGTGAAGATTTACGGATTAATTTACAGTGTATAAATGCTATAAGGGGTGCTCTATTAATTCTGTTGAAAGTATCTCCTTCAACAGAATTAATAGAGCTACAGAACTAAAACCGAGTATATTTGCTTTTTTTATACATAAACATTGGTCCTGAGTAAATTATAATACCTTTAGCTAAGATAAATATGGTTAAAACATTTTTGACAATTATAAATGGACTTTATGTATCCAATCTAGCTCTTATTACAGATGAATATTTGTCCTCTTCCTTCAAGCGTCCTAACGTATTTCCTTCCTTTTCTTTCCTTTCAAACCAGCCCATATTTACCTTCACTATACAACTCCCCAATGGAAAATTTCGGCATGTTTTTACCTCTCTCCACACAGACAGACACACACACAAACCAACATAATATAAAGCAGACATAGCAGAGGCATCGCACCTTATCTTTCCCCGCTTTGTTTCTCGTTCTGCTTCACTTTTATCTGACGATATCCAGATACAGTATAGAAAGTGCACCATCTACCATTAGTAAATGCGGGGAAAAAACGTTTTAAAAGTTCCCCCTCTTTTACAAGAGAAAAGGAGGAGGAGGAGGAGGAAGAAGAGAAAGGGAAGATTTTAAAAATACGTATATATATCTACATGAGACCAAACCCCGAAAATACATTTAGGTTCGCTTACTTGTTTATAAAAGACTGAATGCGATATGCACACTAGGTATCTCGACATCCGACAGGTGACACTCGGATCTCCTCTTACCTCTCTCTCCATCAAGGGACTCTTTCATTTTACTTCCTCTTTTCAATTAAGCCACCCCTCTTTCCCCGCCAGTACTTGCACGCTACGCTAGAGAATCACTGACAATAGAGATGTGAGCTATTTTTCTACCTGGTAAGTAATACGATACTACAACTCATTATGTCTCCTGTTGCCTCACTGAAGAGGCAGACCTTTAATTAAACAACTTTGAGAGAGAGAGAGAGAGAGAGAGAAGGATGTATTTTGACCCCTTTTCATATGGGTGCTGTCCTCGGGTAAGCACATGTCAACACATCTACAGTCAGATGTATAGGCACACACACACACACACACGCTATATATAAGTTATATCTAGAACCTCGTTGGTGGTGGATAAACATCATATTTAAATATTCGTCTTGAAATCACAGACGTAGCCAGGGGCGATAAGTAGTTTTAGGTTATCTACAGACTTGATTGACGTAGAGTTATAAGGAACGATATGCTTAGACGACAAACACCAAATCTGTCACTGAAACCCGAATACTTTTGTTGTTTTACTTCCTCGTAAACATATTAAATCGATTTTTTTTTTATTTTGCTTTCTGGCTGGGAACCGAAAGCGTTGAAAACAACGTCTCTACTGTTTAAATTTATCAGACGGATTTGTTCCGTGAGGCCTATTTGAGGCCTACTTGTATACGATAGGGATGCGTGTACATTGTGTGCTAATACATACGATAGTTATTCGATGCTTTGTCTGTTTGCCGTACGTGCTTGTGTGTTTTATGTGTTTGCCGTATGAACACGTGTGCCTGAGCCCTGCGTATGTGTTCTTTGTGTAAGATGTTTGCTGTGTGTTCACGTGTTTGCCCTCTATAATAGATATATACGTGTTTTATGTGTAGTAAGAGCGCGCGTGTACTTAAGTAAAGGCATTTGTATTTCCTGTATATTTGCGCAATATTTTCGCATCCTATGTGTTTTTTCTTGTATTTTCACCACCTGCAAAACCTCAAAAATATAATTTCACATCGACTTTCATTCAATTTAATATGTAATTAAACGAAATCTATCGTTTAATAGAGAGCACGCATAGTGTCATTATCTTCATTAAGAGTGTTGCTATTCTATATTGTAAAGACAATTTCGTTTCGAGATCTTCAATTAGCCATTCTATTAATAACTAATGCACAGTCGAGTTTATTAAATTTTAATTATTGATTTATTTAATTATAAATTTTCGCCTCTTCCACTATTATGTTGTAACCTAGTTAACCCTTATCGATATTGACTTAAGGGATACATAGCTTTTAAAGTTTACTTTCGAGATATTTACGTGTTAAAATGTTGGAAAATGTTACAGAAATGAATTATGCTAAGTAAAATAAATCGCTAGACCACGTCACTAGCGATTAACATTAGCGATATCGCTTAGAAGCCTCCTCTGCTCTAATTAAACCAAAGTTTTGAGCGTTATATATAGAAAATGTCGGCAAAAATCGCCCCCTTTTTATGTTTTTCTATAAGTTAAAACAATAATAAACAATCCATAATTAAATTCGTTGCCTTAATTATCGTTAGAAAGATTTAAAGTCTTGTTCTCCAAAGTGCTCAATTAAGGCAATTTTGTAGGATTTTCATAAGTGTGGTATATAAAAATTTCATGTTCTACATCCAGGATAGTAGCGTATCATCACGTGGTAGAAGTTCTCACTCAGTAAAAGGTCAAAGTTCACCGGCTAGTTATCCCAGTTGCCTAAGAGGATGCGACAACATCGTTCGATCGTCCTCTCTCTCTCACAATTCCAACTCCTGTTGCTATAGCAACAATTCTCTTCCTCCGAGCTATGTTTCCAACGACATCCATCTTTTCCTTTGCGGGTGACGTCACTTCAGGATTATCGAATTCTTTAAAAAAAAATTATAACACAGGATAAATTAGTAGATATTTTTAAATGTTGGAATTGTCGCTTTAATGAAAGTACAGAGCAATTATTATTTGATATTTTTTAATTTTTTTTTTAAAGGGAGGAAGGTCGTTTCTGCTAGTGTGGAGGATGCAGCGATTTGCGGTTTTTCCTTTGCCATTTCGCTACTATTTTATCGCTCGTAAAAGTAACCTTAAGGTTATACAACTGTAGAATAAGTATGTCGTTAACAAGACTTTGTGTCACATTAAGGTCGACATTTACTGTCGATATGACCAAACCGTGAGGAGGGTTGCAAATTCAACTTCAATAAATTAAATTCATTGTCATTTTATACTAATTTTAATGTCCGTTGTCCTCTAGTCGATGCTTATTTAAACTTTGTTTTTTCTTACTCCGTTCCAGACGAAGTTCGAAGTTGTGAACAAGACACACGATCGACGACTTTTCGTTTTGACCTTTATCCTATGTGGACTGATCGTGGGCATCGTGGTAGCTGTCGCTGTCGTGTATTTGGTGCGAAAACATGCCAAATCCAGGAAGAAACTGCAGAGTTTGGCCCATCCGGAAACGGAAGCTAGCCAAGATTATCAGGTGAGAACTTTTTTTTGTTTATGTGTGTTTTTAGTATAACGAACTTTAAACAAACAAAAATATTTGCATGCCAGTATTTGTATACTAAACACAATTTCCAATACCGTCCACCTTCACAAATCTTATTAAATGAGCCACACGCATAATTCTATGCTCTCCCCCTTCTGTTTGTATGATAAGAAGGCTTCAAGAGAAAGGGAATTAGCCAATTCCCCCTTTTCTTTACATCCAAAACCTTTGCATTTCGTGTCCTTAAGTGAGTTAGAGGCGTCTCCTTCGAACTCTTTCTCTTCGTCTTGTAATTACATCTACTTCTTGTTTCTACTTTAAAGCTACATTTACTCTGACTCGACTACCGATAATTGGGACTAATTTTCTAACATTTCCCTTTAATAGAATGTATTTTGTTTATTCACGTTTTATTTTCTTGTATAAATAATTGCGTATTCTTCATTATAACAGTATCGATGTAAATTCGGTTCTAGTATTAATTTTCTACTCTTACTGTCTCCATTCGTTACTTTAGGAAATACCGAGGACGTTAACGGTGATTATAAACACTTTTCAGCACTCGGCCTATGAAGAATTTACACAGCTTTTGGCTCGAAATGGTTCCAAAATTGCTCGAGCACCATCTAAACTACGAACTATAAGTGTAGGCTGATAAATTATTACTCGTTAGCTCCGTTTTCTCTTACTCGATTCCTAGTAATTGGCACTAATTTTCTAACAGAATTTGTTTGTATTCGCTTTATTTAATGTTATACACGCGCTTTTTTCCTAATTTAGACTAGGAAAAGAGGCTTTTTCTTATATTAACGAACACAAAAATTAATTTAAAACATTTTTCAATAGATCTATCATAAAAATTTTTCAAATAACCGAACAATTTTAGTTCGAGAAGACATCCTTAACATAAAACTATAAGATTTCTCTTAACAACAGCAGAAATAAGTTACAAAATTCTAATAAATTTTCTCTCCGAGCAAAAATAAAAGTAAGAATTTCTTCAAGAAGAACTGAAAGAAGGAAGAAGAAGAAGAACGAAGGAAAAAAAATGTCAGAATTGGTGGAAATTTTCTTGATAGACTTCGAATTCCTGGTAGAAATAAGGTTTCTAAGAACCTCCAGTGGGAAATATTTTCTTAATGGAGACTTTACAAAACCTAGAAGTTACTAGATTTCTAGCAATTCTTGATTGAAATAAGATTACTTTCTGCAGCAGGGAAAAAAAAGAAATATCATTTCTNAATTTATACAGGAATCATTCAATCCCTTCTAAAGCCCAATCACTTTTACCATTGATGTTTGAAACATGACATCTTTATTGCATCTATCAAGTCGAGATCACGCAACTAATTCCCTCGTATACGCACCTTTTTCTTCCTCATTCTCGTCGTGATTGTTGGGGGGGAAAATTAAGTTTCATTCATTCTGGATTTCCTTACATCTTTTTCTATCTCCCATCCATACAAAGAGCTAGAGAGAGAGAGAGAGAGATAGAAGATGAAGCACAAACATGTCGGGAAGGGATTTTTGTAGACAAGGGTGAGAATCGAGACACCTGCAACCGAACATTTTCATCTCCGCCTGATTCCAACTGGGTAGATATTCTAGCCAAGTAGAAAACGTGCATCAGATCCTTTGTAGCGTTAAGATATGTTGTTATAGTTAGCGTTTAAAATTCATACAATAACAAGAGACACTCGATTTTTCTTCTTTTTTTTTCCTTCTTATTTTAAAGGACAACTGCATTAACAGAGGATTCGTTTCATCATCCGAAACTTTCGTTAGATGAGTTTGTTAAGCCCAAATCTTTACTAGTTTTGTTTCTGTTATAATATAGAATCTTTTTACCTTCACAGCACCGACACAAAGTAGAAGATAATCCACTTTGATGATGTATGATCATTGATTTATATTGCGATAGACCCTCATCAGTTACAGTTCCGGTTTTATATTTATTCCTTTTTATCTACAGCATTATAATGCATACAAAATTCATCTATTTAGTTGCTTTTATAGTGCCGAAAGCGTGCATTTAGTCACGATGGTAGCTAAATTCTTCAGTTATAATGCGTAAACAGCTTATTTTAGATCGATCATTTTGTTTTAAAGTAAACATTTTACAGTAGAAACTTATGAAATTTTAATAAACAACAATACCCAATCTTCACATACACACTTTTCTACTGTTCAGTCGCTAAAAATAAGCCATGGAAAGACTAAAAACTTAAAAAATTTAATGTTAGCGTATCCCATCAAATGTTTAACTTGTGTTGTTGTCAAATGATAAATATCTTCTAGAAAATCATGCATAATTTATACCTTTTTAAAGGTATAAGTAGAACGTACAGATAGACATGCAGATGAATTTAAAAGTAGAATGCCTTATTTAGTAGTTGATTAACTCCGAGGCTTATGTACAGTACACATCATCTGTTTGAGATATGCGATTTTAAATATGCCCCTATATAGTTTGAAGGATTATTTTATGCCTGGTGCCTTGATAATTTCAATTAAAATTGCCTCAAAATTAAAATCAAGATCATTCTTTGAGAGTAAGTCTGTTGTGTGCTATTTCCATTTGCATCAATTACTAACGGAGGGACTATTGACATCATTCACTTACCAACCATTCCATTCCAGCAAAGTAATTCCTGCCTCAGAGCAAGAGCACGGATTGAAATAAGGCACAAATACTACTTATTTGCATAGAGCGTTCCGTTTCGAAAAGATGGAAAATAGAACAGGAAGATAGGCTTGGCAACAAACAGGGTATTTACACCTTTAGAAGTGCAGAGTGTAAACAATGACGCCATCCCGTATCCATGGTTACCACCCCAATGAATTTACAGTCTGAAACGACATTTATACAGATATCTAAGGGATCAAAGAGACTGTATCCAACAGAAAAAAAAAGAGAGGTGGGGAAGAGGATAGGGGAAAAAACTACTGTCAGGAAGCACTCTTTTGCCAAACATGTTACTTCATTGGATTGTAACATGGCATCCAACCTTTGACAAAAGAGATGTATCACTCTTTAAAGAAGACTCGGTGCGAATATTGACACATTTAGACTTGATTCTTTACAGTTACTTCAGTTGGTAACTATTGAAATAATTGGAAAATAAATTATAAGATTGAAAAATACTAAACTTTGTTCTATATTTTCTATCTAATTTACAAAGAAAACAACGTTAAAACATCACAAATTTATACATTTTATGTGAGAGGAAGCGGTAAAATAACTCTAAATAATAAATTATCATCATTTTTTCTTGTATACGAAGCAAAATATACAGTAAATTCTGCTCATAATCACGTTTGTGTGTGTACAGAATAGCACTATTTTACATCCTATTTACGTAGAATTAATGTCTTAATCTACTTACAGATCCTATAAAGAATAATCTTTCAAACTTTATACTTTATATACGCATTCTATAGACGAAATGTACAATCAAATCCCTCGAATTTAGTCGTTTTCGTAAAATTCTAGCCATAATTTTACCGGAAATTTCCAACAAAGCTAATTCTCTAGAGGCTAAAACATTGAAATTAATGTATTGTCTGTTGTAAGGATAGACAAGGATCAATCTGTAAAGCGTACATAAACAATTTCGAACTTAACTTTTAAATAGATCTATCAATAATTAAAGAAACTTTCATTTAACATAATTCGTAACATAGAAATTGTTTACCACACTCAGCAAGAGGTATAATTTCTCATAGTTTTAATTGCATCCCATATACTTTCCTGTCAAGCATATCATCACATTTATTACAAGAGCGATCGCAACTGTTCATTTTCACATCCGCTCTACCTACTTATCATACATAAACCATAAAGAAAGTATGCACCATACTTTACAAACATCATCACCATCATCATCACAATCATCCACTTTTAATATTTCTATCAATTAAAAAAATATATTAAAACTTCATTTTTCATCCTCCTGCCTACTTATTATAATAAACTATAAAAAAAGTATACACGAACTTTACAGACAACATCATTACAGTCGTCCACTTTAAATGTCTCTATCATCAAAAAAACGATTTAGTTGATCATTTTCACAAATGCTCTACCCATTCAGCATACGTAAAACATAAAGTATGCAATAGTTCATGTGATGATGATGATTATCATCATCACTACTTCTAATATCTAAAAAAAGACGATGCTATAGTTTATCTTTACATCTGCTCTATCCATTCGTCATATGTACTGTACTGTACAGCATGAAGAAAGTATACAGTACTTCACATTATCATCATCATCACAATCATCAATTTCTAAAATGTCTATCATCTAAAAAACAATTCGCATCACCTGTAATTACTTACTACATCTTATATAATATAGCGATGATGAGATATCATTCACTTCTAATGCTACTGTTTATCTTCTGCCCAATCCTCAATCATAAAACGTAAAGAAAACACACAATACGTCACAAACCTCATCATCATCATGGCAATCAGCTATCTATAATGCCTCTATCGTCTAAAAACGCAGGGAGGGAGCGAAGGGAATTTATTAAAATTGCAAAGACAAATTATAAGGTACGTCAACACACGCCAGAGCAGTACAAGAAATTACATCAACGCATATTCCCCCTCACTCCTTTAATAATAATTTTGCATTCCATGATTACTCGATATTAGATTTGTTGAATGTTTTGCTCAAGATGCTCAACCTGATGTATAAATTAGAATGAGGGGGCGGAGAAAAGAAGAAGAAGAGGAGGAGGAGGGGGAAGACGTATTAGCGAAGCAGTCGAAGGAATCTTGCCTCGGACACCCGAGATGTAATTTCGTAGAACGTTTTCTATACATACAAACCGGAGGGAATAAGGTAAAATAACGAGTTTTAATTTCCCTCGAATTACTCTTTATTCCCGTAAACAACGTTACGTCGAAATGTAATTTTTTTCTAGGTTTTTTTTCCGTGTTTAAAATGGAGAAAATTTGTTACTGAACTGATGATATAA